TCCCCCAGGGAATGACTTCTTGCTTTCTGTCTCTCTGTCTCTTTGGTGAGAACACTTGCCCTATAGCAAAAATTTCTCCAAAACCAAACAAAAACAAACCAAAATATATTTAATTCTTCACAATATAATTGTTAGTCTTGATTATGAGGGAGGACTGGAATTAAGCTTGAGAAACAAATTACAGAAAATCTGGACACAAATGGCTAAAAATAATGTCTAGTGATCAATATGGAACTAGATTTGTGTAACTTATTTTCTCTTAAGTGTGAAGGTAAGAGTAAAATGAAAGTAATAGTTATGCTTTACAGTGGTGGTAACAGAAAGGTTAATTTGGGGGTAAGAATGATATATTTCTGACTTTTTATCTAGAATTAGTAAACACATACCCAAACAGTTCTACATGATGAAAGTCTCTGGAATAAGCCAATGAATGCCTATTAAGACCAATTTACTTCATGGCTATCATAATTATACTCTATTTTATATGTTATTGTTCTCTGGTTACCTCATGTGGGTTCAACTAAAGTGAAGACAGCAGGAGCCATGTTTCAAGCCTTCTCAAATATTGACATGAGTATAACTACTGCTAACATTAATGAAGCATTTATGTGTGTGTGTGTGTGTGTGTGTGTATGTATCTGTGTGTGTGATGTGTATCACCTCAATAAATGATGTTGAAATTGAATACACTTTTTTCCTCTTACTTTCTCTAGAATTATTTTATTTGATTTTATTTGTTATTATTTTGCCATTTGACCATAAAGAGAGAGAGAAAAAGTAAGAAAATAAGTTGCCAGGTCTGGGACTTGAACCACAGTTGGCCACCAAGTCATCTGTCAGCCCCTTCTTTTTTTTTTGTCTTTCCTTTTCTCTCGAATTATTTGATTTAATTTTATTTGTTATTATTTTTTCATGGAATTGAATACATTTGAATTTGTTTGTATTGAAACTTTGTGTGCTGAATGAAGAAATTTAAGTCCAAGATAGTTTTCCAAAATTCTATGTCAAGCATCTGCCCCTTCCAGAACCCAGTACTCTGAGACTGATGCCTTCCTTGTGGGTGAGAGGGAGGCTAAGTGAAATGAGCAAATAAGTGATTCAACTAAGAAATGGCAAAGGACCAGGACCAGCAGGTGACATGGTGATTACAGTATTGTACTCTCACATGGCTGACTACAGTTCAAGTCCTGAACCTGGTGGCTTGCTTTCTCATTTTCCCTTTCTCTCTCTTTCTCTCTCTAATAAAATTTTAAAAAACAATAATAATAATAGCAAATTTAAATTAAATAAAATTAAATAATTCTTTTAAAAAAGGAAAGAAATGGCAAAAGGCCTTAAGTTAGGTAGTGGTTACCAAGTGGTTGACCACTGTCCTCTTTCTTAATATTTTAAAGTGTTTAATGAGACTTAGTAACTGCCTGGAAAACCTTCCTCTGACAGCTTTGGCAACATGATGCTGATTTAAGAGGCATTGTGTCTCCCATAGAATATGAATTATATTTCAAAGACCAGACAAAACATTTAATTTGTCTGGCTGGAGTTAGTCAAATATATTGAGTTGTCAGAAAAGTCATGATGTATTTTTTGTTTTTCTGTGCAAAAATTCATCATGACTTTTCAACGACCCAATAACTATGTCTCTGTCTAACTAAGCTATTGAATGCTGTGCAGCTGATAACCTATCTTTTACTGTGCTCAATCTTCACATACCTCCTGGAGCCAAAGGATAAAACTTCACATGTGTGTGTGTGTGTGGGGGGGCAGCAGGTGGCATGGTAGTTAAGGTGATGAACACTCCCACATGGCCGACCATGGTTCATGTCCCAGATCTTGTTGCTTGCTTTCTCACTTTCCCCCTCTCTATATCTGTGTGTGTGTGTGTGTGTGTGTGTGTGTGGTCAAATTAAAATGGATGGATGACTAGATTAAATTAAATAATAAATAATTCTTTTAAAAAAAAAAACTTCACAAGTGATTTTTTTTCTCTCCATGGGAAAGAATAAAAATGAAACATAGCGGCTAAAGTATTCAGAAGGAGAAAGCTATTATAGTTCATAATTTCCTTCACTTAAAATGTATGACAAATGTTTTACAGATATTAAATCAAGTCACCTTAGATATGATAATGTGAGATGTCCTGCAGTGAGAAACCAAGGGCACTAATCTGCAGGAAAGGTAAGAAGTTCTTTCACCAAAACAACCAAACACCTACCAAAGTTAAACTCCTACTGTAGGGTATTATTACTGTGACTTTATAAATATAAGACCACATGGTTAACAAAGAGGAGACAGACACCTCAGGTCATTTGACTCCATCGTTAACTGCTATTGGTATTTCCACCCAAGTATAACTACTGATAAAATAAGTCCTGGTCTAGAATTCCTCTTTGAGACATTCAAAAGACGTTCTCCTGTTCTCAAATAGGCAGGTGTGATGAGCATTTGCTGAACCTACTCCTAGCCACAGTTGTGATCTTCTTTCCAAATGTGATGGAATGTAAAAATGGAAGACAGTTCTATGGATAGAAGAGTTACCATTATTACAAGGGAAATTACATGCTTCATTTAAGATACCCACAGCATTAAAAGAAATGAATCAAATGCCCTCTGCAATAGTGTGGGGATTGGATTCATAAAAAGGGAGAGCAGCCTTACTCCATGCTGTCAACAATGTCTTCAACCAGTTCATGGAAGAGGCAATATCTGAAGTCTCTGTATATATGCCTCATGAGATTTTATTTTTCCACCGAAACATCTAGACGTACAAGGCACTCAATAATAGTCATTATTTATATTCACCGTTTGAGGGAGTAACAGCACTGAAGTTAGGAGAAAGCATGGTAGGACAGATAATATCACTAAGTGTTTAAGATGTAATTGTTTAGGCAAAATGTAAATGCAACTGTTGTGATCTATTTGTTATTTTGAAATTAACTTTGCTGAGTTCTAAGTACTAGTATCTGGATGTGAAAATAACTTTTATAAAATTTACCCATTTCAATAGATATACAGTAGAACAAATATAGTAAAATAATTTATGTATCTTACAGGTACATATATAGTTTTTCATTGTATAATTATACCAACTTATCTATATTTTTAAACTTTTCATGATGAAGTTTTTAAAATATTTACCTTAATACTTTAAAAAGTATATATACACACACACACACACACTCACACACACACTACATGTATTTATACATATATGCGCATTATCCAAGGCCTTCTAGCTCCCTAAACCTCTTTTGACACACATGTGAATCCTAGTCAGTTTGGAGGATAATATAAAGAGAGGGGGATTTTTCTTACTGTGGAAAACTTGAAATCTTGTTTCTTTTATGGCATAAAATTACTGGCTTGATTAAAATAAACCATTTATCATTTTAAAATTTATCCTAAGGAACCAGTAGGTAACTTGGTGGTTAAGACATTGGACTCCCACATGGCTGACCATGGTTCAAGTCCCGGACCTGGTGACTTGCTTTCTCATTTTCCTTATCTTTCTCTTTCTCTCTTTGTCTCTCTCTGGTGAGCACGCATGACCTATAGTAAATTAAAATAATAATAGTAAATAAAATTAAATAAATAATTTTTAAATAAATAAAAACAAAAATTGTTCTAAATAGGTGAAAGAGAAAATCAAATACAATCCAGAGCCACTGAATCCAAGGATTTTTTTTTTCTTTTTTGAGAGAGATTTTTTTCTATAGGGAACATGCACTCACCAGAGAGACAGAGAGACAGAAAGTAAGAAATTACCCTCCAGCGGGGCTTGGCCATGCCACAATTACTTCTCTTCTCAGAATCTGGGACACAATACATATGTGCCTGGTCTGAGTTTGAAGGTGCCAGGTTCAGGACTCAAACCATGATCAACTCTGTGGGAGTCCAGCAATGTAACCATTATATCATCTAATGGTCCCACCTATGAGGATCTTAAAATCGAAGAAATTGTAAGAATCATTTAGATTATCTTCCCTTGCAAAGCTGAACTTTTCTTTAGAACCACAAAATGTTTATTTTGTACTTCCTAATACTAGTTAATGCCATCTGGAAATATATAGATCAGATAATATATTTCTTTTCCATACTAATGTCCTTGAGAAGATTAAGCCAATGACCATATTACTCTTAAGTTTGTTCTTTGTAGGCTTATATTTTTTACCGCCATCAGCCTGCCTCATGCTATATGGTCTCTAGACTTCACATTATCAAGGTCATCTTTCTCTGGACATGCTCCAAGCAATTCAAACTTCTCTAACATAGGACAGTCAATCTTGTACACAATATTCCAGTGTTTTATAATATTGAATTTATGACCAAGTAAAAATCCCAAGGTGATTTCAACATGAGCATAATGACTTGGGACAAGAAGGCCAACAGTGTAATGTTATTCTTCAAACATAAGATCTCTTGTCTTTTGTTACCTCATAAAAATACATTACCTCCTCTTATTCCCCACTTGATGCATTCATGACTTACTAATGAACAATATCCAATGTATTTTCACTTGCTTTTAAAATATAATTTGAGGTAAATAATTGGCATATAATTCATTTGAGGGAAAAGGTCATGGGAGTCTCTATTGTGGACATACAAGCTCGGAGCATCAATAACAGCGCCAAATGAAGATAAGCCATCTATTAACAATGAGAAGATGAACACTGACTATACCATTTTCCCAGACTGTTTCACCATTTTATATTTTTGTTCTGAAGAAAATATCTGATAGACGCATATTAAAGTTTAGATATTTATGAGAGTTGGGGCGTGAAGCTAATGTTTTAAATGACAATTTACTCTAGAAGCAACACCTTCCAGTTTGTGAAAGTTACTCTATAATTTTTTTAAAGACTGTGACAGTTTCAGCAATTAGGGTGGAGGATTTTTCAAATATATAACATGGTGGTGATCAGCATGGCTTATTCAGAGGGCAACTACTGAAGAGTTACGCTTAACTCTACCCCACAACCGAGTCTGAAGCAACTGATTCTACCATGGGGGCTTTCATTTTCCTTCCCTTCATGTTGCTGGCCATGTTCTCAGGTAAGAAAGTCAAAGTCAATGACTTTCCTTGCAATTCTCAAAGTAAAGAATTAGAAATGTTGAGTGATTTAATAATACTTTTTCAGAAAATTTAAAGTGGGAAATCACTATCATATAGAAATATTGGGTCGTCAGAAAAGTTATAATGTATTTTTCTATGCAAAAATGCATCATGACTTTTTTGATGACCCAATAGAAGGTCATTTCAGACAAAATAAATTTAGATCCAGAAGCATAAAAATAGTTACTGGGTAACACAAGGGAGAATAGTTTGGTGTAGTTGAAGAGAAATGAAGGGAAGGGAAAAGAAAAGGAAGACATTAAGCTGTAAAGATAAATTCCATGTAAAAGGTTTATGAGAGTTTGGAAATATTCAAATTTATGTTCCAGAAGAGAATAAATTTATGCTATGAACCTGGGCTCTGTGGTCAAATAAAGATGAGTCCAAATTCTTTTTTTTCTTTTCTATTTATGTGATTTGGAACTAATTTAATTTATTTGGCTCTCAGTTTTTTCATTTTTATCATTAAAAATTATGTTGATAATTGCAAGAGCCACCATGACTTGAGTTCTCAGGTGCTTGACATTCAACATACTTCTCTCTATTCCTTACATCAATACAGTTAGATTGTTTTCTAGCTGCATATTCTAGCTCAGAAACATAACTTCGCAAAGTAATAAGCAACATAGTTAATGCATTTCTCAAGATAATACATCATGATAATGAAGCAGACTCTGATATAACTCCAAATTATGATCTCCTACTTGACTCTTTTTTTCTTTTAGATTTAGTGTAGAGCATAATAAAAGCAAAGTGTCTAGGATCTTCAACTTCTTATACTGTGACATGAGAAACAGTAGTTCTCCTCTCATTACTCTGGAATTGTTTTATATTGTTTAGTTGAGTGCAGGAGTGACCATACCCATCTTGTTAAGAATACTGTAATAATACTGCAAATGGATTCAATGTGAGAAAACTTGTTTAGAGATGCCATTAGGAAACTTCTGAAGAAATGAGAACAGAAAGCTAAGAGATGTACTCAGAGATATGATGAGAAAGGATGAATATATTTTAGAGGAAAATGAAAAACACCATACAGTTAAAGTCTTCACTATGTTAAATGAAAATAGGTACAATAGTTATTCTGTGAGATGAAAGTGTGTACTCAGCAGATAGTTTTTGATGGGATAAAGTATATTAATATCAGATGTAGTGATTTTATGGATTCATAAGGTAAAGAAGGGAAAAGATCAGGAATACCTATTACAGCAATGACAAGCACATCCTGGAGTTTATGAAATTAGAAGGGAGAAAAACAAAACAAATAAAACAAAGCTGAAGATAATTTTTTCCCTAATTTTTAACTTAAGAAAGAGATGGTGAAACCACAATTAAATCTGTTACTTATTTTTATCCCAAAATTTTATGCATAGTTTTTATCCTATAAATTTCTTCATTCAGGCCAGAATAATTGTATTAGGGTTTCATTGAAACACTATACTAGCAAAATGAAAGATAAACTACCTGCTCATCGGTAGAAAACTAGTTAAACTATGGTAACCTATAAAATAGGACAGTGTTTAAATATTAGGGAAAAAATATGAAGGTGCTTTATAGGCAACAGTATAAGGAAAGCTTTATGCTATTTCCAAGGGGGAAAACGGAAGTGAAATATATAGAGAATGCACTACCAATTGTGTATGAAATATATTCATATATGTTTGTAAACACGTAGGATGTCTCTGAATAATTCACAAAAACCTGATAAATATGATTGTGTCATAAGTAGTAAAATAGGTTGTTTGGGAAAGGAAAGAAAAACAAAACAAATTGTTTACACTGTTGTATCATCAAGATTTGATCCCAGGACCAGCAGGTGGCATAGTGGTTAAGGCATTGGACTCTCACATGGCTGACCATGGCTTGAGTCCTAAACCTGGAGGCTTGCTTTTTTACTCCCTTTGTATCTCTCTAGTGAGTGTACCAGTGTCCTTTAGCAAATTAAATCATAATAATAAATACAAATTCAGTAAACAATTTTTTTTTCAAGAGAATTTTGCTATAAAGTATTTGCACTATCCGGAGAGACAGAGAAACAGAAAATGAGAAATCCCAGGAGGAATGGCCACACCACCATCCCTTCTCCTCCATTGTCCTCTCAAGATTTTGGGCACACATGCACACGCACCCAGCATGAGTTTAAACTGTCCAGTCTGGGAATCGAAACACAGTCAACCATATTGTAGTCCAGTGACGCAACCGTATGTCATCTGCTGGTCCCAAATAATTTTTTAAAATAAATATTAAAACCAATGTTATCACTGACTCGAAAACTAAAAGCATAAAAAATTGTTCACTAACCCATTTTGTTTTCTAATTAATTCATTTCTCTCATTTATTTCTTTATTTTTTTCAATTTTTAAAAAAAATTTTATTTATTTATTTATTTATTTTTGTGGAGAAGTTTTTGCTATAGGGCGCTTGCACTTGCCAGACAGAGAGAGAGAGACAGTGAGACAGAAAGTGAGAAATCACCCCCCGGGGGGATGGCCACACTGCAATCCCTTCTCCTCCATTCTCCTCTTGGGATCTTGGGCACGCACACATACACGCCAAGACTGCACAGTATTTCATGTGTATGTGTGTGTGTGTGTGTGTGTGTGTGTGTGTGTTTATATTATTTTATTTAGTCCATATTTTTTTCATTTCTTTTTTTAATTTTTTCTTTTTTTTTACATTAATTCACTATACATCATTATAGTATACAAAATAAATTTTCCATCCAAAATACACTGTCTATTGGTGCAATAAATCACATTAACGTACATACAAATAATTTTCCATTCCTTACGTCTTGCATATTTTGCTTTTTTTTTTTTGCCATCCTTGATTCCCTATCCCTAACCCTCTGCCATGTCCCACCCTTCTTCCACATTGTCTCTGGTGTCCATGGTTGCTTTCTGTGCTTTCCCCCCCCCCATTTAACTGATTTGCTAATGAACTTAATTTGTCTAAATATTTGCAATAGCAAGCGCAGCTAATACATACATACACATGAATCCATGTCTGACTTTAGGCATAAACCTCAGTGAGTAGAATGAAC